TTATATATTTTTTCCTTCTTCTTCTTTTTTTTTTTTTTTTTTTTTTTTTTTTTTTTATTCTAAGTCAATACTCGAGAATCCTTCTTTCGGTTATTACCATCTTTCGATGACCTTTATCTTTCTCTCTCTCTCTCCTCCTCCCCTCCCCTCCTCTCTCTCTCTCTCTCTCTCTTGCAAATCGGTTCTCTACTAATTGGAAATTGAACCCGACCTCGTCGAGCTATCCATGCGCGATGCAAAAGTACGGAAGACGGAAAATAAGAAGGACGATTAAAGCGGCATACTCTGTTGCTATACTTTTAACACTTCTAACGAGCAAACGTATACATATAACTTATGCGTCGTTTCTAGATATAGGTGTAATCTATAGAAAAAAAAAAGAAAAAAAAAAAAGAAAAAAAAAGTAAGTCGTTCGTAGTAAGCCTTAATTAGCAACGATCATGATAACGGAAGTAATAGCTATCATAGGTCGCTATCGGCTTTTATTGTCTTCTTATTTTTATTTTTATTTTCTTTCGTTCCTGAATATAACGTAAAAGGAGCAAGGGCAATTTCGAAGTAGGCGTCGTATAATCATTAGTTACGTATCGATACGTTACGATTTCCCTTCTATCGAGTTTCACTTGGGGAGAGGGAGAGGGGGGAAAGGGAGGGAAGGTTGGTATCAGTTCGTGCACGTGCGAATACGACAACAAAAGATCGATCGATAGATCGAGCGATCGTTATCTTTTATCGTTGCAATCGAAATCAATAAAGAGTCCTTTCGATATTCTCATTAAGAAGACGTATGAACGCGTGCGAAGAGTACGGATATCCATTTATAGATAGAATTCAAGAAAACTTGTTTGAATCTACAACCAATTCGTTTTTTCCTTACAAAAATGATATACGATTATTCATTTTGATTCGCGTATTGCATCTTACCAAATGATATCCAGCAGTAAAACTAACCAATAGTCAATTGGCTATCTCATAGTAATCCGCGATTCCATTTCATAATACTGCTCATAACGCGTCCAATGCTCGGTCTTCACGCACGTCTTGCTAAAACACAGTCGAACGTTCAAGGACTCGAACTAATCCATACAATATCGATCTTAACCGATCGAAATAAATCGCTATATCCTTTCAAATATTATGACATTTGCTTTTTCTCTCTTTCTCTCTCTCTCTCTCTCTCTCTCACTCTCTTTCTCTTTGCGTTTCTTAAAACGAGATATCCTTTTTTTTAGTTTTTCTATCTACTTATTTCATTGCCTTTTGCAAAAGTGAACGTCTCGAGTGGATTAGGAAGTAGTCAGAACGAATAGTTCACGATGAATATGACGTCAGAGTTTTGAGTGGGTGGCCTAGGAGAAAAAGAAAATGAAAAAGAAAGAGAGAGAGAGAGAGAAAGAGAGGGAGAAAGAGCTCAAAGCTTATATTTCATAAAGTCGCAATTTTAATTGCATTCACCTTAAGGAGCTGGTACGCAATGATGTCTTGATTGTTGCCTGACAGCAAGTCTAATGAAGGCGTTATATTATCTCAACGAACGGTAGATAACATTATGGCGGATTCGTGTAGGAATGCGCCCGTCGTTAGTTATTAGACATATATCCTTGAGCCGCAACTTCAAAGAAATATGGATTACTGTTTTTAATGCCAACGAATAATATGATAATAACATTTTATTCGGATAAGGAAAAAAAAGTAATGTTTGATAGTTTGAAAAAGTCGAATAGATTCAATAGTCAGTTGGCTTTGATCGAGTAAATTATACGATTATATAGTTTCGTGATATAAAAGAAAATCGTGTTGGGTGTGTTGTTTAAAATATGTTTTTGATCTGTTACCATGTACTTCTTAAACGGAACGAAACGAGATGAAACATTTTTTGCAAAAAAGAAAAAAAAATAAATAAAATAATATATATGTACATATATATATATATATATATATATATATATATATATATATACATATAAAAAGAAAAAAGAAATAAAAAAAAGAAAAAGAAAGAAAGAAAGAAATATCTTTTTCTCTAATGGGATTCGATGCTAATTTATCTGCATCATGGCTATTAATGATTCGAACCACTCGCAACCATTGTCCGCTCTCGTCCAAGGTAGCACAGACAAGAATAACAGAAAGAAGCATCGAGGGATTGCAAAATCGGGATCGTCGAAGGGCATCGTACGTTCGATTAAAGGAGGAGCAATGAGCTTACTCCATTATCAGACTCTTCCCCCAGGGCTGGAACGAACGCGTCAATGTCAAATTTAATCGTCGAACATTTTAATCATAAAGATAGCGAGGTCGATCTCGATGGCTGTCTTACTTTTTACAAGAGAAGTCAGTGTTCCGAGCGAGGACATTTATAGCCCTTTTTTCAAGGACGACGAAACGAAGGAATGATAAAAAAAAAAGAAAAAAAAAAAAAAAATTAAAAAAAATTAAAAAAGTAAAAAAAAAAAAAAAAGAAAAAAAACTAAATAAATAAAAACAAAAATGTAAAAGTATTAATAAGAAATAAGGATAATAAAAGAAAAAAGATACAGACGAAGAGGAACGCAAGAAGTAATTGCAACTAGTCAGAAAACAATGGGCGCGATTATTGGGAGTGCCTCTTGTTGTCTACCCGATGCGAAACGCATTGCGGCCAAGTTGTGAACGGGTTGTTCGGGTTCAAAATCCGTTTCAGGCTATCACGTTACGTGGATCCGGCGCAGGTGTGGCGCTTCGAGGCTGACCAGAGTATTGAATTCCGCAAAAATACCTAACGACGTTCCTCTTTGAGCCATTCTCTCCCTCTCTCCCTCCCTCTCTCTCTCTCTCTCTCTGTCTCTATCTCCCTTTCTCGCTCTCTTGACTAGATCCACTATCTTTGTTCTTAACCCTTTGTAACTTTGTTTTTCTTTCCACATAACTTTTTTCTACAAGATTCAAATGCAACGACAAATATAATATATCTTCTGCTTTCCAAGTTTCATTATGTAATAAGCGTCCTCTTTAATGGCTCCCCGATAACTACTTTCTCCAACGACGAAAGTCTACATATTGATAAATTTCACGAGTTCTAACATTAAAATCTGTTATTTCATAGATCATGACAAAATAAAATTTTAATATCTTACGCAAATCGCTTGTCCCTTCATTCACGTAATTTAAAAACGGAAAAATCGTCAAAAACGTTCGTTCTTTATCGCATCTATCGTTCGTTAAATCCTATCATCGTTGGCGTTGAAAAAGGAATATAGAAACTCGTCTAGACTGACTGAAAAGAGTGGTCCTTGAATGGCGCCCAGTCAAGAAAAAAAAGTTGTAGGCTACCATCGCGAAATGCATTTGATTTACGTGCGAATATTATCAATTGAGCAATGTAATCAATCGAGCTGAATTTAAACAATGAACGATAACTAACAGTCTAACGAAAATATTTAAAATATTGATAAATTACAAAGGAAGAATTTTCAATTTGCGAATCAAAGGAACAATAGATCAAAATCCTTTTATATATATTTTATATATATATATATATATATATATATATATATATATATATTATGTATATAAAAAAAAATAAAAAAAATAAGAAAAAAAAGAAAAGAAACGGATATATCCGTCCATTTCGATAAATCGAAATTTCCAAGCGCTATATACGTATACGGCAAAACTGGTTTTATACTTGGATATTAGTTTTTTTTCTTATTCTTTTTCATTTTTTTATTTTTTTATATATATATTTTTTTTTTTTTTTTTTTTTTTTTTTATTATGGATATACAATGAACGTGTATAAATCTGACTTTTGTAAAGGTGATCATTGTAAAAATTAGATAGCACGATTCGAAGTTGAGCGTTAAATCGATTATCGAATATTTCCAAAGCATTGATTAAAGCGATCCAATACCTTTCGTCGATGGTCTATTATTAATTAGCGATCTCGTAGTATCACGAACGTGTATTATTATACCGTATGAGTTCGCATCGATCGTTAGAACTCGTGCGCAGAGAAGCGTTGGGGCCCTGGATTTTATGTACGAGCGAACAACGCGCGCGCGGAATTCGAGAGCGTCGTTGTGCAACGATAAAACCGGAATGTCGGCTCGCTTCGATGCCCCCGGCAGACGACGAAATTCTCTTCGATCTTCCTCCGAGGAAGGAAGAATAACAGTGGGGGGATTTAGAGAGGGAGAGAGAGAGAGAGAGTATGTGCTCGTTCATACATACATAAATACGAGGAATCCTCAAAATTGATCGCAAGATGAATAACAGATTTACTATAAATTTTGTTCGAGACTTTGTCATTAATCAGAAATAATATTTATCGCCTGTCTCCGTTTAATTCGAGAAATCGATTATACTTTGGTTAAAGTTCACGAACCGATGAATTTATATATATATATATATATATATATATATATATATATATAAAAAAAATAAGGGGGAGAAAAAAGAAGAAGAAGAAAAAGAAAAAGAAATTATTACTTTCGTACATTCAAAGAATTAATTTGCCACTTATTATCGCGTCAAGGAAGCTTTTAAAAATTTAAATAAAAGTATATAAATTATTTACATTACAATTATTATTGGTAATTAATGGGATAAAGGTTTGAAAAAAAAAAAAAAAACTTTGAGGCAAGAATGTTAGTCGTTTTAAC